TCCTGAGCGCAAAAATGGAGGCTCTAGACCCTTCCAGAGCTGAAGATATCGGAAACTCAAAATTCGACCCGAAAAAAAAATGACAGTGTTACCCCTTACGTTTTTTTTGCGTTTTCGGGCGAAAAATCAGCGAAAATCAATTTCTCCAATCTTCTCAAAACTCTGGATTATGATAGAGGGCCGCGAGACTTTGGCCTGAGCGCAAAAATGGAGGCTCTAGACCCTTCCAGAGCTGAGATATCAAAACTCAAAATTCGACCCGAAAAAAAAAACGACAGTGTTACCCTTACGTTTTTTGCGTTTTCGGGCGAAAAATCAAGTTTCTCCAATCTTCTCAAAACTCTGGATATGATAGAGGCGCGAGACTTTGACCTGAGCGCAAAAATGGAGGCTCTAGACCCTTCCAGAGCTGAGATATCGAACCTCAAAATTTCGACACGAAAAAAAAAAACGACAGTGTTACCCCTTTCGTTTTTTTCGTTTTCGGGCGAAAAATACGTTCTCCAATCTTCTCAAAACTCTGGATTATGATAGAGGGCCACGAGACTTGACCTGAGTGCCAAAAATGGAGGCTTTAGACCCTTCCAGAGCTGAGATATCGAAACTCAAAATTCGACCCGAAAAAAAAACGACAGTGTTACCCCTTATTTTTTTTTCGGGAGGGCGAAAAATCAAGTTTCTCCAATCTTCTCAAAACTCTGGATTATGATAGAGGGCCGCGAGACTTTGACCTGAGCGCAAAAATGGAGGCTCTAGACCCTTCCAGAGCTGAGATATCGAAACTCAAAATTTCGACCCGAAAAAAAACGACAGTGTTACCCCTTATGTTTTTTTCGTTTTCGGGCAAAAATCAAGTTTTCTCAATCTTCTTCAAAACTCTGGATTATGATAGAGGGCCGCGAGACTTTGGCCTGAGCGCAAAAATGGAGGCTCTAGACCCTTCCAGAGCTGAGATATCGAAACTCAAAATTTCGACCCGAAAAAAAAAACGACAGTTGTACCCCTTACGTTTTTTTGCTTTTTTCGGGCGAAAAATCAAATTTCTCCAATCTTCTCAAAACTCTGGATTATGATAGAGGGCCGCGAGACTTTGGCCTGAGCGCAACAATGGAGGCTCTAGACCCTTCCAGAGCTGAGATATCGAAACTCAAAAATTTCGACCCCGAAAAAAAACGACAGTGTTACCCCTTACGTTTTTTTGCGTTTTCGGGCGAAAATCAAGTTTCTCCAATCTTCTCAAAACTCTGGATTTGATAGAGGGCCGCGAGACTTTGGCCTGAGCGCAAAAATGGAGGCTCTAGACCCTTCCAGAGCTGAGATATCGAAACTCAAAATATCGATCCGAAAAAAAAACGACAGTGTTACCCCTTACGTTTTTTTGCGTTTTCGGGCGAAAAATCAAGTTTCTCCAATCTTCTCAAAACTCTGGATTATGATAGAGGGCCGCGAGACTTTGACCTGAGCGCAAAAATGGAGGCTCTAGACCCTTCCAGAGCTGAGATATCGAAACTCAAAATTTCGACCCGAAAAAAAAACGACAGTGTTACCCCTTACGTTTTTTTGCGTTTTCGGGCGAAAAATCAAGTTTCTCCAATCTTCTCAAAACTCTGGATTATGATAGAGGGCCGCGAGACTTTGACCTGAGCGCAAAAATGGAGGCTCTAGACCCTTCCAGAGCTGAGATATCGAAACTCAAAATTTCGACCCGAAAAAAAAACGACAGTGTTACCCCTTACGTTTTTTTGCGTTTTCGGGCGAAAAATCAAGTTTCTCCAATCTTCTCAAAACTCTGGATTATGATAGAGGGCCGCGAGACTTTGGCCTGAGCGCAAAAATGGAGGCTCTTGACCCTTCCAGAGCTGAGATATCGAAACTCAAAATTTCGACCCGAAAAAAAAACGACAGTGTTACCCCTTACGTTTTTTTGCGTTTTCGGGCGAAGAATCAAGTTTCTCCAATCTTCTCAAAACTCTGGATTATGATAGAGGGCCGCGAGACTTTGGCCTGAGCGCAAAAATGGAGGCTCTAGACCCTTCCAGAGCTGAGATATCGAAACTCAAAATATCGATCCGAAAAAAAAACGACAGTGTTACCCCTTACGTTTTTTTGCGTTTTCGGGCGAAAAATCAAGTTTCTCCAATCTTCTCAAAACTCTGGATTATGATAGAGGGCCGCGAGACTTTGACCTGAGCGCAAAAATGGAGGCTCTAGACCCTTCCAGAGCTGAGATATCGAACCTCAAAATTTCGACACGAAAAAAAAAAACGACAGTGTTACCCCTTTCGTTTTTTTTTCGTTTTCGGGCGAAAAATTACGTTTCTCCAATCTTCTCAAAACTCTGGATTATGATAGAGGGCCGCGAGACTTTGACCTGAGTGCAAAAATGGAGGCTTTAGACCCTTCCAGAGCTGAGATATCGAAACTCTAAATTTCGACCCGAAAAAAAAAACGACAGTGTTACCCCTTACATTTTTTTTTTTCGGGCAAAAATTAAGTTTCCCCAATCTTCTTGAAACTCTGGATTCTGATAGAGGGCCATGAGACTTAGACCTGAATGCAAAAATGGAGGCTCTAGACCCTTCCAGAGCTGAGATATCGAAACTCAAAATTTCGACCCGAAAAAAAAAACGAAAGGGGTACCACTGTCGTTTTTTTTTTTCGGGTCGAAATTTTGACTTTCTCTGATCTTCTTGAAACTTTGGATTATCATAGAGGGCCCTGAGAATTAGACCTGAGTGCAAAAATGGAGGCTCTAGACCCTTCCAGAGCCGAGATATCGAAACTCAAAATTTCAACCCGAAAAAAAAAACGAAAGGGGTACCACTGTCGTTTTTTTTTTTCGGGTCGAAATTTTGACTTTCTCTGATCTTCTTGAAACTCTGGATTATGATAGAGGGCCCTGAGAATTAGAACTGAGTGCAAAAATGGAGGCTGTAGACCCTTCCAGAGCTGAGATATGGACATCCCACGTAGCATTTATGCCATTATAAATATCTCAATATCTCAGCTCTGGAAGGGTCTAGACCCTCCATTTTTGCACTCAGGTCTAATTCTCAGGGCCCTCTATCATAATCCAGAGTTTCAAGAAGATCAGAGGAAGTCAAAATTTCAACCCGAAAAAAAAAACGAAAGGGGTACCACTGTCGTTTTTTTTTTCGGGTCAAAATTTTTACTTTCTCTGATCTTCTTGAAACTCTGGATTTTGATAGAGGGCCCTGAGAATTAGACCTGAGTGCAAAAATGGAGGGTCTAGACCCTTCCAGAGCTGAGATATTGAGATATTTATAATGGCATAAATGTTACGTGGGATGTCCATATCTCAGCTCTGGAAGGGTCTAGAGCCTCCATTTTTGCACTCAGGTCTAAGTTCCATGACCCTCTATCAGAATCCAGAGTTTCTAGAAGATAAGAGAAACTCAAAATTTCGACCCAAAAAAAAAAAAAAACGACAGTGGTACCCCTGTCGGGTTTTTTTTTGGTGCGAAAAAATAAGTTTCTCCAATCTTCTTGAAACTCTGGATTCTGATAGATAAAACGCTTTTTTTGCAACTAAATCCACATAACACTTAATATACAGTCTCAGAACTAACGTAAACTAAATCAACATTCACAATTCAACAATAAAAACAAAAAAAAAAAAATAGGAAGCACATACACACAAATATTCCACTTTACAAATGTCACTTTAATATGAGCATCCAGCAGTTATATTTATACACCATAACAGTGTCATACGAATAAATGAGGAAGACCCAAAAATGATACAAAAAAACATCATTACTGTCATTATGACTCAAACAGGGATGTATGGATGTTAGGGCTGGGTAGTATTGTGAATATGCACTATATATGTGCAGTTATTTTGCTAGCAATGACTGTTGTGGTCAAAAATCATGAAAAAAAAAAAATATATATATATATCATCAAAAGACTGAAAAATAATATTGAAATATAATTAATTACACCTATATCATCCAGCCCTAATGGAAACTAAGCCTGAGTTCTGTGTTAAGGCATGAAAGAGTATTTTGGGCTGTTAATACTGTCATATCTAATGTGTTTTACCTGGTTAGTAGGATGTGCTGTAAGATTAAGTAAAGATTTGTGCATTCCAGCAGAATTACATGAAACTGCAAGATAAAGTTCAATGTACAACAAAATGGTCCTTTTGCACAACCATTAGCAAGTAAGAAATTTCCTAGAAAGAGGAGTCAGATCTGAGCTCTGATTGGCTAACTGAGCAGCAGGCACTTCCTGATACTGTCTGCGTTTGTGCAGCGCAGCGGGAAGCTGTTTTGAGGACCAGACGTCTGATCGGAAGTGTGATTATCCAGCGGACTGGGAAGAGCAGCAGCATCTGATGGGAATAGGGACGAACACAGCAGCTTTACAGGACAGAAGGCAGAGCCACTCGGAGTGAAGTTCACCTTGTTTCTGTCGGGGCAGGAAAAGATGGGAAAGCCTTGTGTCCTACAAGTGCTATGAGATAAAAAAAAAAAAAGTCAATAATATATGAAGATCAAGAAAAATAGTAATGAAGTCAAAGAATAAGCAAACAACAAAGTTGGTGGCCATTCAAATTCTTTATATACTGATTTATAACAATATACATGGAAATATAAATCAGTTTTCAAATAATGTAGTTGTTTATAAAATCTATATACATTTTTTAAATATATTTGAACTATTTTTAAAATAACAAATGACTGGGAAAAGCTCATGTTATTTTCCACATACAAGGCATTACTATGGTACTAAAAACAAGTAGTATAACATGATGCTTTGTGAGCTAAACTGAAGCCCACTGGGAAGTTTTACCAGCAAACTTATAAATATAACCATAACAATATGGTTTTAAAAAAGGGTTTTATGAGAATCCACTGTAGTGCAGTCATTGGTACTTACATGAGATCTTCAAACACTTTGACCTTCTCACAGCCCTCGGGAGGCTCACGTTTAAACATATAACTGTTGTTGGGTTTGGGAGAGCTGGAAAACTGGGGCAGAGGTGAACCATTCCTGTAATCTTAAAAGGACAAAATAAAGCTGTTTATTTAAGCAAACCTTACCTAATAAGATACTGTGAAAGTACCACAGTACAGTGATGCTATCAGATGGCAACACCATGGTAATCTGAGTTAATGAGTAGCATAGACAGTGCTCTACCTTTGTCAGTGTCTGCAGGAGGAGAGCAACAGAAACAGGGACTGCAGGACATCTGTGTCTCAGCTCTGTGAGTGTGATGAAGAGGAGGAACAGGAGCACGGCCACCGTCTCGCACCTCCAGAGGCTGAAACACCAGGACGAACACGCCACAATTACAGTCTCGCAACCTTGAAATGTGTCTGTGTGAGTGTGTGTGTGTAAGTGAGTGTGTGAGTGAGTGAGTCTGAGTGAGTGTGAGAGAGAGTGAGTGAATTAGTGAGAGAATTATATTTATTCATTTATTAATATATACTGTGTTTATTTATTTACCATGCTACATATGACATGATCTATACAAATATGTTCTGTGTGTTTGTTCTATTATTTATTTATAATATGTTGATGAGGCAACATTGTGTTACACAGTCATGCTAATAAAGCTATATTGCATTGAGTGAGAGTGAGCAAGAGAGTGAGTGAGTGAGTGTGTGAGTGTGTGTGAGTGAGTTAGTGAGTGAGTGAAAGAGAGTGAGTGTGAGTGTGTGTGTGTGTGTGAGAGAGTGTGAGTGAGTGAGTGAGTGAGTGTGTGTGTGAGTGAGTGAGTGAGTGTGAGAGAGAGAGTGTGTGAGAGTGTGAGAGAGAGAGAGAGTGTGAGTGAGTGAGTGAGTGTGTGTGTGTGTGTGTACCTTCTCCTCTTCCCTTCCCCAGTCCTCACAGACGAAGACACTCTCCAGCTCCTGGTTAATACAGTCACTATAGCTGGGCATTCTACATATGAGGGGTCTTGAATGGATCATATTAGTTGAAGATGCAGTGAGTCGTTTTGGCTGAAAAACAAAAAGCACATCTTCATTAAAGAGACTAATTAGACCAGTAAGTACATTAATGTCAAAGTCACCTGATTAATGTCTGAAATTGCCTCAATAAATATGGGTTAATCTAACAAAAATAGTATCAAATTTCACTCCAAAATGTAAGAGATAAAAATAAGAAAGTAAAATTGTTTTAAAGATAGAAATTACAAATTAAATTCTGATAAGTTAAAATCGTGAAAAACTATCATGTTTTGACCAAAAATATAATAGAAATGATAAAATATAATAGAAATTAATTAAATTAATATATATATATATATATATATATATATATATATATATATATATATACAGTACACTACCATTCAAAAGTTTATATATATATACATTACCATTCAAAAAGAGTTAAAGAGTTATGGTTATGGGTAATAGGCTACTTCGGGATAAGTACCCTAAAAAGGCAGAGATGCAAGCTATCCGATAAAGATGCAAAACTATCCGAGCACACATGATGAAGACGATCTACAGTACCTGGACCTGGTTCAGCTGCGTCACTTCTTCTTTCTCCTTGATATTGCAACTTCCCTGCAAACTGCGCTGAAGCTGCTGGCGGAGTTTAGCGATCTAGAAAGTACATATTTATCATTAGCAATGGCTGGAAAGAAAGAACAATTGTTGACGCAAAATCTGAGCTCATGCCATACTACACCAGACGACTATTGAATACTAGATGACATGCCCCGACAACTAACCATATATAATATACTATATATAATAAACCACACAGGTTTCATTGCTAATTTAGCTTTCAGAATAGATGTTTGTTATGTTGCCACATCTTGGGATTCCTAAACCGACTTTGCAAGTGCATGATACTGGCAAGTCAAGACACAATGTGTGGGTACATTTTTTTTATTTCCCATAATTATGGGAAACAAAGCCAATTATACGCCCAAAGTATGTCTATAAATAAACACACCTCCACCCATCAAAACCCAGAGGTTACTATGGCGATGTTCACACAGCAATTGAATATGTTTATGAGTTCTGTATTTAACTTTTAATATGGTTGAATTCACACGGTTTACAGGAGTGACAACTGCATTCTATCACCAAACTCGCACCTCGGGACTCGCAAACAAATTCTCTCGCAAACAAATCACACAGCACTGCATACACAAACTACACGGAATTACTTGAAATATAATTGGAAACTGATCTCTAGTGATGTATCTAAGTTTTTAAGGGTCATATGCTGGTGAAGGGTAAGAAACCTTGCGGGCCACATTTGTCAAAGAGCCATGTGTGACTCACGAGCCATAGGTTCACGACCCTGATATAAGGTGTGTTGTGTTCACACATGTACGTATTTCGGTTCTGTTAAACCAGACCAAAACATAAAAGTTTGGTACATTTGTTAGTATTTTTGTTTTGGTACATGCAAGTATTTTCATGCATACCTCTATGAGATGGTCAGCGCTCCCCCATGATGCCGAGCGCTTGTGTACGATAACCTCTCCTCCATCCTCAGTCCAAAATCCAGGCGTCTGCAATAAACATGGTCAAAACATGTTCAACCATGCACACACACTTGACTAAATAATCTTGCTGACTTTAAATGATGTCATATATAGAATATATTCTTGAAATCATGTGACCTAGATATGTATATTTTTCATAAAACAACAACAGGATGTCTGTGGTTGGCAAACAGCATATGTGCCGCTTTGACCAAAACGCAACAAAAAAGAAGAACAAACAAACAGCCACAAAAGATGGACAAAAGACACCACAAATAAGTGCAACTTTTTCCAAATAGTCATTTTCTTCTTGTCTTTAATGTGTTTTGCGGTGACAGCTGATAAACCTCTTAGAAAGTCTGAGAAAGTTAAGTGAACGGTGAAGGAATATATATAAAATTTTTAAAAATCAATGGGGCCGAAAACTATATTGGACCCTATTGACTGAAAGCAAGTCATACTGGTTTGGACTGACTGTGGTTTTATGGAAATAATAAAATATTCTGGAAGAGAATATCTTTCAATACAACCTGAATGCAATGTTTCAGACACTTTATTTCAATGTTATATATAGTAGTTTATATTTATATTGAATGCAATTTGTTGAACTTAAGAGTGTTTTTTTTTTTGACCCACTTAAGTAGAAGTTAATTGCATACTTTTATAATTACTTCTATTGTCTTTAAAATATATTTTGAGTGTCCTGGCAAATGTACTGACAAAAATGTATCATCAAACTAAAGTATTTTCTATTGAAACGTGTATGCAATGCATTTAAGTATGTAATGATGAAGTTGCAAATACATTATAAAAAAATATTCATATCAATTAATCAAGTATTTTACATGCTTTAGTATGTTAGTCAACATAAGTAAAAACTAAGCATACTTGAATGACAAAATATTATTGAAACAATGATTTACTAGTCAATTTAAAGTGCATTCAAATTTAAAAACACACTTAAAGGTACAATATGCAGGATTTTTGCAGTAAAATATCCAAAAACCACAAGGCCAATGTTACATATTTCGTTTAGTTGATTACTTACAATATCCCAAATGTTTCCAACTATTTTTAAATCGTGAGAAAATTGCGTTTTTAACCAAGGAAACGGGGCGTGTGAGCAGGGGTGAGGAGTTACGGTTTCCGCCAGGTTTGACCTCGTACTGCAATAGTAACCATGGCGACAGACGTTGACAACTGGGTCGGTTATGCCCGTTAGGCGAGCTCAACAGCGCGAGCGTCCCTAGCAGGGTTTTGTTCAAACATTATGGACCATGGCAAGTAGACTTTGAGACGATAAGAGGACTAAAACGAAGATCAACATCTTTGGAGATGATCCATAAAAGATCCATCAGCTTCACGACAAGATCCACAATTCCGCTTAATGCAGAATATACATCATCAATATACACCTTTGTTATTGTAAGAGGTTAGCGACCCCTGGTGGCGAAACAATCTTGCATATTGTACCTTTAAGTGTGTAAAGAAACAGTCATGAAAGTTATCTATAAGCACAGTTTTTTAGAAATATACTTAAAAATTTGAAGTACACAACAAGT